GGTTATAGTAGTGTCCGATCGTCTCCAATCAAACCATACTGATCACACTAATCACATCGGTGTCCGATCGTCTCTTACCTAATTAAACTAATCACACTGGTTATAGTAGTGTCCGATCGTCTCTCCAATCAAACCATACTGATCACACTAATCACATCGGTGTCCGATCGTCTCTTACCTAATTAAACTAATCACACTGGTTATAGTAGTGTCCGATCGTCTCCAATCAAACCATACTGATCACACTAATCACATCGGTGTCCGATCGTCTCTTACCTAATTAAACTAATCACACTGGTTATAGTAGTGTCCGATCGTCTCCAATCAAAAAATACTGATCACACTAATCACATCGGTGTGATCACTAATTAAACTAATCACACTGGTTATCGGTGTCCGATCGTCTCTTACCTAATTAAACTAATCACACTGGTTATAGTAGTGTCCGATCGTCTCCAATCAAACCATACTGATCACACTAATCACATCGGTGTCCGATCGTCTCTTACCTAATTAAACTAATCACACTGGTTATAGTAGTGTCCGATCGTCTCCAATCAAACCTTACTGATCACACTAATCACATCGGTGTCCGATCGTCTCTTACCTAATTAAACTAATCACACTGGTTATAGTAGTGTCCGATCGTCTCCAATCAAACCATACTGATCACACTAATCACATCGGTGTCCGATCGTCTCTTACCTAATTAAACTAATCACACTGGTTATAGTAGTGTCCGATCGTCTCTTACCTATTTATACTGATCACACTGGTTATAGTAGTGTCCGATCGTCTCTTACCTAATTAAACTAATCACACTGGTTATAGTAGTGTCCGATCGTCTCCAATCAAACCATACTGATCACACTAATCACATCGGTGTCCGATCGTCTCTTACCTAATTAAACTAATCACACTGGTTATAGTAGTGTCCGATCGTCTCCAATCAAACCATACTGATCACACTAATCACATCGGTGTCCGATCGTCTCTTACCTAATTAAACTAATCACACTGGTTATAGTAGTGTCCGATCGTCCCATACTGATCACCATAATCTGGTTTACTGATCACACTAATCACACTGGTTATAGTAGTAATCACACGATCGTCTCTTACCTAATTAAACTAATCACACTGGTTATAGTAGTGTCCGATCGTCTCTTACCTAATTAAACTAATCACACTGGTTATAGATCACACTAGTAGTGTCCGATCGTCTCTTACCTAATTAAACTAATCACACTGGTTATAGTAGTGTCCGATCGTCTCTTACCTAATTAAACTAATCACACTGGTTATAGTAGTGTCCGATCGTCTCTTACCTAATTAAACTAATCACACTGGTTATAGTAGTGTCCGATCGTCTCCAATCAAACCATACTGATCACACTAATCACATCGGTGTCCGATCGTCTCTTACCTAATTAAACTAATCACACTGGTTATAGTAGTGTCCGATCGTCTCCAATCAAACCATACTGATCACACTAATCACATCGGTGTCCGATCGTCTCTTACCTAATTATACTGATCACACAGGTTATAGTAGTGTCCGATCGTCTCTTACCTAATTAAACTAATCACACTGGTTATAGTAGTGTCCGATCGTCTCTTACCTATTTATACTGATCACACTGGTTATAGTAGTGTCCGATCGTCTCTTACCATATTTAAACTAATCACACTGGTTATAGTTGTGTCCGATCGTCTCCAATCAAACCATACTGATCACACTAATCACATCGGTGTCCGATCGTCTCTTACCTAATTAAACTAATCACACTGGTTATAGTAGTGTCCGATCGTCTCCAATCAAACCATACTGATCACACTAATCACATCGGTGTCCGATCGTCTCTTACCTAATTAAACTAATCACACTGGTTATAGTAGTGTCCGATCGTCTCCAATCAAACCATACTGATCACACTAATCACATCGGTGTCCGATCGTCTCTTACCTAATTAAACTAATCACACTGGTTATAGTAGTGTCCGATCATCCCTTACCTAATTATACTGATCACACCGGTTATAGTAGTGTCCGATCGTCCCTTACCTAATCCTACAGAAAACAATAGTGACAGAAGTGTCCGATCGCCTCTGGTCTAACTTTTATCTGATTTTGGTACCATTTGATTCAATTGATGAAACGAAATGGAAGACATAAAAAAATTCCTTACAACTCAGTGACACACGAATAAAGATTTTCTTTCATGTAAAGTCATAGGTAATGGTCTTTTAATTACATGTATTTATCGTTATTCCTAACTAGTTTAGACAAACGTGTTACATTATACGTGTATTACCGGTTTAGTATCGTTTTAACTTTGTGCACGGAAGATAATATTTCGAAAATAAAACACCAAAACAGCAAAACTGAAATATAACTCTCTCTTTAGCTTTGTGTAAGAAAGGCATTTCCTTTAACTAAACATACTATAGCAGAGCAAGTTCAATATCCCGAATATAAGATACAACGACAATACCTCGAATATAAAATAGCACAGTAGAACAAGGGCAATACTTGAATCATAAAAAACAAAGGTAGAACGGAAAGAGCAATAGTAAAATGTAGAAATAGAGCAATGACGCTTACTCGAGTATAAAAAACTGTATCAGAAGCGAAACAAGCTTAATGTCACGAATATAAAATAGCACATTAGAACAAGGGCAATACTTGAATCATAAAAAACAAAGGTAGAACGGAAAGAGCAATAGTAAAATGTAGAAATAGAGCAATGACGCTTACTCGAGTATAAAAAACTGTATCAGAAGCGAAACAAGCTCAATGTCACGAATATAAAATAGCACAGTAGAACAAGGGCAATACTTGAATCATAAAAAACAAAGGTAGAACGGAAAGAGCAATAGTAAAATGTAGAAATAGAGCAATGACGCTTACTCGAGTATAAAAAACTGTATCAGAAGCGAAACAAGCTCAATGTCACGAATATAAAATACCGAAGTAGAGTAAATGTATCTGGAGTGTCTTTAGCTATGTGTACGAAGGGAAATAACTGGAGCATGAACTACTACAACAGCACAAATACTCTTGCCTTGTTTCATAGTTAACACTAACTTGTATTACTACAGCAGAACAAATACTCGTGCATTGTTTCATAGTTAACACTAACTTGTATTACTACAACAGAACAAATACTCGTGCATTGTTTCATGGTTAACACTAACTTGTATTACTACAACAGAACAAATACTCGTGCATTGTTCCATGGTTAACACTAACTTGTATTACTACAACAGAACAAATACTCGTGCATTGTTCCATGGTTAACACTAACTTGTATTACTACAACAGAACAAATACTCGTGCATTGTTTCATGGTTAACACTAACTTGTGTTACTACAACAGAACAAATACTCGTGCATCGTTTCATAGTTAACACTAACTTGTATTACTACAACAGAACAAATACTCGTGCATTGTTCCATGGTTAACACTAACTTGTATTACTACAGCAGAACAAATACTCGTGCATTGTTTCATGGTTAACACTAACTTGTATTACTACAACAGAACAAATACTCGTGCATTGTTTCATAGTTAACACTAACTTGTATTACTACAACAGAACAAATACTCGTGCATTGTTCCATGGTTAACACTAACTTGTATTACTACAACAGAACAAATACTCGTGCATTGTTTCATAGTTAACACTAACTTGTGTTACTACAACAGAACAAATACTCGTGCATTGTTTCATAGTTAACACTAACTTGTGTTACTACAACAGAACAAATACTCGTGCCTTGTTTCATAGTTAACACTAACTTGTGTTACTACAACAGAACAAATACTCGTGCATTGTTTCATAGTTAACACTAACTTGTATTACTACAACAGAACAAATACTCGTGCATTGTTCCATGGTTAACACTAACTTGTATTACTACAGCAGAACAAATATCGTGTCTTGTTTTATTGTTAACACTAACATGTACCACTACAAGTACTGGTACATGCACTTCAAACTTTTGAAAAGCATCTCGTATTTAGATTAAAATGTATATTTGTCTTCATTTTTCTGTTAATAGTCGGTAATATTATGTTACATTTGGTTACGTTGCTAGAGATAAATGACATGGAACCTACCCAGAAAACTAGAAATGTCGCGTGAAATAATTCAAGAAAAAAAACAGTAATCACGTGATGAAAAGAGGGCAATGATAACTGAAAAACCAACTCTATGATATATATTGACCCTTAAGTTCAGATAAATCGTTTATCGAAAGATTTCGTAAGTATTTACCAACCACCCATGGTCATAAAGATATATACATGTTCTTATTTGAACAACCAATTACTGAAACTACGACACGACCACTAAATCAGGAAGAGTAATCTCCCTTCGTATGTATTCATTAATAGTCGCACGAAACACGACAGTACAAAATATTGGAGCCTATTACCTGCGTACATTGAAGGGAAGACAACAATATTCATATTTCATGTTAAATGTAACTCTTTTTGTATAAATATAACTTAGTGATTATGGCGCTGAAGACACCAAACGATAGTTAAAATCATTACAACAACCACTGTTCATCATACTTCAATGTACAGCATACATACCCCTAATATATCCCGTTTACTTGGGTATCGATTCAAGAGGAGAAAATATTCCTCATTTCTTTTTTATTTTATTTGTAATGCTCCTGAAGTCATATATGATCACAGATGTGTTAACTTTTGTAGTAAATCACATGTACACAAGCACGGATCTAAATGCAGGTTATGTATCTTGCTTCCGAAAATAATACAACTTGTTTATTTTTTCTACAATACAGGTACATAAATGCAATACCACGTTATAATGGTAGAGAAAAATTCGGTCCAGGAAACATAAACAATTTATCTGATACAAAAGTGTTTCTATCATTGTAGAAAATACTGTATTTGATCAATAATTGAGAATCGCACATTCTACTTTAAGATCGTTTACATGCAGACTGTCTAAAGTACATCTTACCTACGAAGTTTTCACAAACTGATCCCGTGAATCCGTCAGGACATATACAGTAAATCTGGCTATCTTTCACAGAACAAGTGGCACCATGTTCACACGGCGATGACAGAGAACACAGGAAGTCTAGATCTGAAATAACAAAACAGACAGTACTGTTACATAAATAAACTCTTAATACAGACTCAACAACGAGTCACCAAGGTTAATATTAACAAAACAAACACTACTGTTACATAAATAAACTCTTAATACAGACTCAACAACGAGTCACCAAGGTTAATATTAACAAAACAAACAGTACTGTTACATAAATAAACTCTTAATACAGACTCAACAACGAGTCACCAAGGTTAATATAAACAAAATCTTAATACAGACTCAACAACGAGTAACCAAGGTTAATATTAACAAAACAAACAGTACTGTTACATAAATAAACTCTTAATACAGACTCAACAACGAGTAACCAAGGTTAATATTAACAAAACAAACAGTACTGTTACATAAATAAACTCTTAATACAGACTCAACAACGAGTTACCAAGGTTAATATAAACAAAACCTTCATACTGACTCAACAACGAGTAACCAAGGTTAATATTAACAAAACAAACAGTACTGTTACATAAATAAACTCTTAATACAGACTCAACAACGAGTAACCAAGGTTAATATTAACAAAACAAACAGTACTGTTACATAAATAAACTCTTAACACAGACTCAACAACGAGTCACCAAGGTTAATATAAACAAAATCTTAATACAGACTCAACAACGAGTCACCAAGGTTAATATAAACAAAATCTTAATACAGACTCAACAACGAGTCACCTAGGCAAATATAAACCAAATCTTAATACTGACTCAACAACGAGTCACCAAGGTTAATATAAACAAAATCTTAATACAGACTCAACAACGAGTCACCAAGGTTAATATAAACAAAATCTTAATACAGACTCAACAACGAGTCACCTAGGCAAATATAAACCAAATCTTAATACTGACTCAACAACGAGTCACCAAGGTTAATATAAACAAAATCTTAATACTGACTCAACAACGAGTCACCTAGGCAAATATAAACAAAATCTTAATACTGATTCAACAGCGAGTCACCAAGGTTAATATAAACAAAATCTTAATACTGACTCAACAACGAGTCACCAAGGTTAATATAAACAAAATCTTAATACTGACTCAACAACGAGTCACCAAGGTTAATATAAACAAAATCTTAATACTGACTCAACAACGAGTCACCTAGGTTAATATAAACAAAATCTTAATACAGACTCAACAACGAGTCACCAAGGTTAATATAAACAAAATCTTAATACTGACTCAACAACGAGTCACCAAGGTTAATATAAACAAAACCTTAATACTGACTCAACAACGAGTCACCTAGGTTAATATAAACAAAATCTTAATACTGACTCAACAACGAGTCACCAAGGTTAATATAAACAAAATCTTAATACTGACTCAACAACGAGTCACCAAGGTTGATATAAACAAAATCTTAATACTGACTCAACAACGAGTCACCAAGGTTGATATAAACAAAACCTTCATACTGACTCAACAACGAGTCACCTAGGCAAATATAAACCAAATCTTAATACTGACTCAACAACGAGTCACCAAGGTTAATATAAACAAAACCTTACTACTGACTCAACAACGAGTCACCTAGGTTAATATAAACAAAATTTTAGTACAGACTCAACAACGAGTAGCCCAGGCAAATATAAACAAAACAACAGTACCCATATAGAAACATTCAACGATTTACCTTAAAAATATCTTAGTAATAAATCTTTCATGAAATATTGTTCAATAAATGTCTGGAGGAGTTATAAATCATTTTGATTTCATCTTTGTTTTTCGTTGTAATTTAAGATGTATGTAAACTGTATACAATTTGTTTTCAAACTGTAAGTTTGTTTTTATCTGAATTATATTACATCACTTAATGATAAAATGATAAAGTACTATCAGTTATTTTCGATAGAAAAATAAAAAAAAAATAAATACAAAAACATGCTTTTCAATTGAATAATGAGTGAAAAAAAGCATCGTTTTTATTACTGCTTTAAGATACAGTTTAGTTATGAAAAAGACGAGAATAAAAACAAAAAAAAAATGGAAGTTAAACATGAAATTACGAGAAGCTTTTTTGTCAATGAAATCCTTACGGCCTTAAGGCATTTTAACACTTTCATCAATACGATCTCTGGTCACCTCACCCCATTATTTTGACACTTTCATCAATACGATCTCTGGTCACCTCACCCCATTTTTTTGACACTTTCATCAATACGATCTCTGGTCACCTCACCCCATTATTTTGACACTTTCATCAATACGATCACACATCGTGCAGATGACTCTTTATTAACAAGTTAAATTTGGTACATAACTAATGAAAATGAGGTGTTTACACATAAATAGTTTTTGTAGCTAATAAAATAAGGTTACAGCTTTAGGCGCTGAATATTGATAATAAAAAATGAATACCTAGTTAGAATATGTCATTAAAATCTTAATTATTTATTACACGAATGAAATGGACCATGATAAAGATAGCAATAAAACTTTATGGTGTTGAGTTTTGTTGTGTCCTAAAGGGAAATTAACAATGTTTATGATCGTGGAGATATCCATGTTATCAATATTATATATTTATGGGGCTACAATTCATCAGGCTCTTTATACATTTGACGACTATTATATGTGTAATTGTCTGTAAAGAGGCGCCATAAATTTGGAATAAAGACATATATATGAATATTGAGGTTTGTCTGGGATGTTACGTAACAGCTCTATACTGCTGCTTAATTAATTGTTTGGCTCTACTGTATCCGATCTAAAATTCTATTAAAAGGTGATATTCACTTGTCTGGACTTAATTTGGACTGTTGAGGCTATTTTGTCTTTGAGCATGATATTGCCTCTGTGATACAGGAAATATGCATCTGTTTATAAATCTTTATCAAAAGATCATGACGTAAATGTCAGGAACTGAGAAATCTTATGAGTCGTATCTTACAGAAATCTACACATCCAGATTGAAATTAATCGGGCGTTTGAAGCATTCGTCTAAACCACAAGTACATCCGTACACATCAGCATGTACCCATTGACACTCTAGTTATCAGAAACAAGTTTATATAGTGTGATTATGTAGGGAGAATGTTTATATAGTGTGATTATGTAGGGAGAATGTTTATATAGTGTGATTATGTAGGGGAGTGTTTATACAGTGTGATTATGTAGAGAGAATGTGTATATAGTGTGATTATGTAGGGAGAATGTTTATATAGTGTGATTATGTAGGGAGAATGTTTATATAGTGTGATTATGTAGGGAGAATGTTTATATAGTGTGATTATGTAGGGAGAATGTATATAGTGTGATTATATAGTGTGATTATGTAGTGGAGAATGTTTATATAGTGTGATTATGTATGGGAGAATGTTTATATAGTGTGATTATGTGAATGTTTATTTTATGTAGGGAGAATGTTTATATAGTGTGATTATGTAGGAGAATGTGTATACAGTGTGATTATGTAGGGAGAATGTGTATACAGTGTGATTATGTAGGGAGAATGTTTATATAGTGTGATTATGTAGAGAGAATGTTTATATAGTGTGATTATGTAGGGAGAATGTTTATATAGTGTGTTTATGTAGGGAGAATGTGTATACAGTGTGATTATGTAGGGAGAATGTTTATATAGTGTGGTTATGTAGGGAGAATGTGTATATAGTGTGATTATGTAGGGAGAATGTTTATAATGTTTATATAGTGTGATTATGTAGGGAGAATATTTATATAGTGTGATTATGTAGGGAGAATGTTTATATAGTGTGATTATGTAGGGAGAATATTTATATAGTGTGATTATGTAGGGAGAATGTTTATATAGTGTGATTATGTAGGGAGAATGTGTATATAGTGTGATTATGTAGGGAGAATGTTTATATAGTGTGATTATGTAGGGAGAATGTTTATATAGTGTGATTATGTAGGGAGAATGTTTATATAGTGTGATTATGTAGGGAGAATGTTTATATAGTGTGGTTATGTAGGGAGAATGTTTATATAGTGTGATTATGTAGGGAGAATGTTTATATAGTGTGATTATGTAGGGAGAATGTGTATATAGTGTGATTATGTAGGGAGAATGTTTATATAGTGTGATTATGTAGGGAGAATGTTTATATAGTGTGATTATGTAGGGAGAATGTGTATACAGTGTGATTATGTAGGGGGAATGTTTATATAGTGTGATTATGTAGAGAGAATGTTTATATAGTGTGTTTATGTAGGGAGAATGTTTATATAGTGTGATTATGTAGGGAGAATGTGTATACAGTGTGATTATGTATGGGGAATGTTTATATAGTGTGATTATGTAGGGAGAATGTTTATATAGTGTGATTATGTAGGGAGAATGTTTATATAGTGTGATTATGTAGGGAGAATGTTTATATAGTGTGATTATGTAGGGAGAATGTTTATATAGTGTGATTATGTAGGGAGAATGTTTATATAGTGTGATTATGTAGTGAGAATGTTTATATAGTGTGATTATGTAGGGAGAATGTTTATATAGTGTGATTATGTAGGGAGAATGTGTATACAGTGTGATTATGTAGGGAGAATGTTTATATAGTGTGATTATGTAGGGAGAATGTTTATATAGTGTGGTTATGTAGGGGAGTGTTTATATAGTGTGGTTATGTAGGGAGAATGTGTATATAGTGTGATTATGTAGGGAGAATGTTTATATAGTGTGATTATGTAGGGAGAATGTGTATATAGTGTGATTATGTAGGGAGAATGTTTATATAGTGTGATTATGTAGGGAGAATGTGTATACAGTGTGATTATGTAGGGAGAATGTTTATATAGTGTGATTATGTAGGGAGAATGTTTATATAGTGTGATTATGTAGGGAGAATGTTTATATAGTGTGATTATGTAGAGAGAATGTTTATATAGTGTGATTATGTAGAGAGAATGTTTATATAGTGTGATTATGTAGGGAGAATGTTTATATAGTGTGATTATGTAGGGAGAATGTTTATATAGTGTGATTATGTAGGGAGAATG